GATATTGATAGCTATCCATGAGGTTATCTGCTCTAATAATTGGCCAGCAGCAAATGTAAAATAGTATATTTTTTCAATTTATTTGAACTTGCACATTTTAAGAGCACACACAGCTCTGATTTTTTTTCATTCATATTTTCATAGCTCATTGACTGTGGTGCGAAATGGGCCGTTACGCAGTTTTATTTATTTTTTATTCTATTATGTTATTATTGTTGTTGCTGTTTGACCCTCGAAATTTATGCATTTATTTGTAGCTGCGAACAGGGCTCGTTAATTTATTGTATTGGGCTCTCACATTGTAATATTTGTGGCCGAGTGTCGCTCTCCAGATGGCCCGGAGTGTGTGCGTGCGGGTGAGCTGTATTCATGGGCCTGTCAAGTGGGCACTTGGGCTTAATGCTCGGTCGCTGCTTTACATGTTATTCGCGCTCTATGCGTCACAGCCAGCGGACAGCACTTTGCTCGGCTCCAATTGACCCAGAGTTTTATTTGCTTTGGCGCGGACGGCCCGCAGCTCGAGCAGATCGATTAGCAGTCGCTGTCGGCATCGAGTGCACTTGGGGATTAGGGGAGAGTGCAGCATGCAGCAGGCAACGCCACGCAAATATGAAATATGCGCGCATGTTTAATCAGCGAAAATCTGACACCCAGTGAAATTGGATGGCGACAGGTTATTCCCTGATGACGGAAGAGCAGTGTGAAAGGCACGCGAAGCACAGCCGAATAGCTAAATGAAAAGGGAGCGGAACACACACACACACTCACACACACACAAAGAGCGACGTGAGCTCACACGGTGCGTTGACATTAATATACAAAGGGTGTCTGTGTCGATCCACCTGGCGTATGCGTAACAATTAAAAAAGCCAACAGCACGAACCATAGCTAACATGTCAAACAAAGGCCGGAGGCGGGTGGGGTAGGCGTTTGCTCCGTGTGACAGATAAGCGTAATAACAATTAATTAAAATGTATCTCAAATCTCCTGCTTTGAGGCCATAAACGTCTGATATCTGATGCAACAATTACCCCCCTCCCGTGCAGACCTTTCGTGCAATGTGAGTGTGTTCCTGGCACTGATTTGTGGGCATAAATAAACCAATTAAAGTGCGGCATGTACAGCAGACAGTAATATGAGCTGCATGTCGACAGAAGCTAAATACCCTGTAAGCTAGGCATATATTGAGATACTCAAATATCATATACTGAAATATCTAATTACAGCCTCACGATTTAATAGGCAGGGAAATGTTTTTATCTGTTTGAATATTATTTACTTTTGCCATATGGCACACATATTAAAAACTAAAAAAATATTATTTTTTAAAATATTTTTTATTTTAAGAGTTTCCTTAACAACTTCTGTTGGCTGATTGTAATGTTTGTAAAACATTTATGAAATAGGTGCGTTATTCATGTATAAATTTAAACATTAGACTACAAACTGGCGTTTAAATTTTAAGGATAGCTCTTTTAGTTTCGGTTGAAATCAGTTTTGAGCCACTGTATTAACGTTATATATCGTATCTACAGTTGCAACCACATGAATTAAGTCTGCCGCACACACTCTTATAGGGTATTGATTCCGAAATACCAGAGAACTCCAGAGCAAGTATTTACATATAATAAGACTCCAGCGCTGAGGTCCTGGCATCGCATGGCATTGCTCTACTCACTAATCAGCGCTTCTATTCAGAAGTTCATTCATGCTGGGACAAACGTTCAATTTGTGTGGATGTGGCTGCATGTGCTCATAGATTGGCAAGTAGAAACTTTCTTGCTTATTAATTAAACTAATTAAAATGCACTTTATTATACGTCCGAGAAGCAGGCAGGCGAAATTTGCTAGGCAGCTGTTAAGGCTGGACGCTGGGCGAGGGGGGAAGGGCTGGTGGCTGATGGCTGCCGACACTTGGCTTCAATTAATGCACTTAGCCAAAGTTGTGATGGCGATAATCATAATATCGTATCGTATCGTAATCATAATATCGCACTCAGGGCACACATATTATTGGCGTTGGCATTTCTCTTCATAGTACAAATCAAATTATGCCGTTAGTTCTGCTTCAGCCCATGTGCTTTGATTGGTGTGCTTTGTTTGAGCAGCTTTTGTGCTTTTCGAGCTTAGCCTGCGCCTAGGTCGGGCATTATCGCAGCTGCGGACAGAGCTCGGCTAATCAGAGCTGCGCTCAGCCACTGTTAATTGCACTTCTTCTTATTTGCTACCCTTTCGCATGCCTACCGAGCATTTTCTGTTGCTTTTCAACACTTGAGCACGTTAGGCGCTGTCTCGCCCGCTCCCCAGACCTTGGCGCCTGCCAGGGGGCGTTGCTCACTTAGTCGCGCGTCTTTTGTAGGCACTTAATGTGTCGCACTCCCACAGTCCAACGCGGCCGCCGTCACCGAGCGGGAGGGGTGGGTAGAGCTCTACCCTTTATCTGCATTGTCGTACAAAGAGTTGCCTAAAAACAATGCAGATGCAGGCGTCGCACATGCAACAACAACAGCAACAACAACAGCAACAATCAACACGAATAACGAGCAGGACGAGCAACAGCGAAGACAAGCGAATTTCAGCGCGGAAGCGGAAGTCATTGTTGTCGCACAATGGCGAACGCGTCGCAATTATAATAATTTTGATTGCATGCCGCCCATCGCCGACAGCACCACCAGCAGCACCACCGACAGCACCAGCTTGTTATTGTTGGCAGTGGTTGCATGAATTATGCAGCCTCCCGTCCCCCCGTTGCCCCGCAGGGGCTAACTGACTGCACTGCAACCAGGCAACCAGGCAGCCAGGCAGCCGTAGAGCCAACCAACCAGCCAGCCAGACACACGTGCAACATGCCTGAGGCAGGACTTTATAATATTCCACTTTATTTGTATACCCAACCATCGTGTGCGTATAGGGTATATGACTTATCTGAATATGTAACAGGTTAGTTGAGCAGGAATATTTTGTTTACTATGGGATCGACTAAACTCTGAGAGTATCGAATAGGTTTTATTTGTTCTTCTAATTGACATACAATGTGGAATATTACCAAAAGGCTTTTTACTACAGAACAAACATTAAACAAATTTAACAGGTTGAGTCCCGTAACTATATTTGTGTCTATACATTAGAGCTAATACTAATGCGATAGTGCCATCAATAGTATTGATGGATTCTATTCGATACTCCACTGATTCTGCAGTCAAAGTTCCATAAAATCACAGTTAAAATGGTTTTTAGTACATATTTCATCTAATTCATTTATTTACTGTAATGTCAACTTCAGCTTTGGTTCGTATTATTATTTAAATCAGTTTGAAAAATTTTTAAATAGTTTTAATTAGAAAGTAGAGCTATTAGATTAATCGAAATTATCGTTTCTTTAAACTATCGAAGGGAGAAATCATCAAGGGCACCCAGATCTAGAGTCTAAAGTCCGGTTATAAAGACGTTCAAGGCACCATACAGGTTTTTTTTATATAAGTTTGTCTGGTTTCCAGAATTTCCGTCGCAATGAACAATATAAGTTGACACTACTGTACCATAGATCGAGAAAGTGCAGCATGTAGCTTAGGGTATATTCTAGTTGCCTAGTCCCGACTGAAGTACTTTATTTTTTTGTTGCTCCGAGTGGATTTTTATTTTAATTACGAGCACTCGACGCCATTTATTCGACTGTGGCGCAGCGAAGCGCCGAGCAGAACTAATTAGCTGGCACACAAATGGGCAATACCTAGTGGTCATTAGGTGCTTTGAGCAGCGGTCCGCAATGGGCGGGGCCTCTTGCAAACTCTTACAACTCATTGGCCAAGCGCCGGCAGACTGGCAGACTGACAGACTGGCAGACGTTGGACCGTCTTGGCCAGACTTTGTCTGTGAAAATAATTTCCTTGAAAGCTGGCCAAACGTGCGCTCTGATTTGGCTAAGCAAACTGTAAAAGTGTAAAACTCAGCAAAGCCGCAAATGGAAAAGGCTACAAATTGCTAGAAATCCCCCTCTATCTCTCTCTCAGTCTCTTTGTGTGTGTGTGTGTGTGTGTGACTATCATTTGCTATTAATTTGACTTGAGGGCGTAATTAAAGAAAAATGCAAAAGCTCTTTGATTGTCAGCCAGTGGCAAATCAAGGCTAGGCAAAGCCGGCAGGAGAAGACATCGAAAGGACTTAACGAAAGAGAGAAATCGAGTAATGTGCTAATTGTTTTAAGGCTCAAGCGCAAACAGAAGCAAACGCCTTAAAGGACGTTTCGAACAAAAAACAGAATTGAAAGAAAAGTCCATTTAACCTGACGCTGCAGGACCTGCAAGATGGCTGCAGGCTCTATGCATCTGGCTGCTGGCTGTTGGCAGGCGCTGCGAGGCGCTGGACTAAAACATAAATTTGCCTTTGTTTCAGTTGCATAACACATCCTGTGACACACACACACACACATACAGACAGAGACACACCGACAGCGATGCCAGTCAACTTTTACTGCTGACTCGACACTGAAAACAAAAAAGTGCAAGCAAAAAGAAACAAACAAGAGCCACAAAAGACTCTATGAACGGGCTAGCCGGATCCCCAAATACTCTGTAGATGCAGCTTAAGGCGAATTAGAGTGTGGACAGTAAATGGCAGAGTTGTGTTTTAGTTGCGAATTCCTTAATACATCATTCATCATCTATTTATGCGCTGTAAAGAGCCAGAGCCAGAGCAAGCCAGCCGCTGCCTCTGCTCGTACAGAGTATATAAAAGCAAGTGCCAAAACGCTTCGAAGTTTGAAGGAACAGACGAAGTTATGCAAAGTCAGCAGCAGCGGACATTGACATGCTAGCACATGTCTCTCTGTGTGTGTGGGTGAGTGTGTGTGTGTGCATGTGTATGTGAAAAGGGTGATTCAATTTGCAGTTTTGACACTGCATAGCGTGTGAGTCCAGAGCACACACACACACACACACACTCACACACACTCAGATAGATGAAAAGCTAACCCACACAGTGAGCCAAGTCAAATTGCCATATTTCATCTATGACTTTTATGGCTTTTTCTTTTATTTCGAAGCGGTGCTTGTTCGCTTTTGTTGCAGTGCAACACGAATTTATATGCGAGCAGAACTCCCAGAACTTTTCTACATTTCATTTCATTTCATTTACACGTATCGCCTCAAAGGCGTGTGGGCGTGGCTGGTGGCTGGTGGCTGGTGGCTGCACCTACGCAACATTCGACTCGATGTCGTCCACGCACCTGGTGAAGTAGTCCTGGGCCATGCGGCACTCGGTGCTGTTCGTGTAGAACTCCTTGGGGCACTTCTGCATCGCATGGATGCGCACACAGATGGTCACGTGCAGGGAAAAGGGGTTGCACTTCTCCTCTATGAATTCAATCTCCGGCAGGTGCAGCGCGAAGCGAGCCGTGTGCTGGGCGCCTGAAAGTTGGCAGCGCATTTTAAAACTCGACTCGGGTTAGTGCGGGGCAGCGACTCACGATAAGCCTCGCACTTAATGTACGCATCGAACATGAAGGGCACGCTCGTCTCCTGTGGCTGCGGCAGGATCTGTTCCAAGTTGCGCCGCACTCGGACCATGTCCAGGCGGTACGGCGGGTCCACTTCAATGTAGCCAGAGCCTATATAGTTGCACTCCTCGAGGCACTGCAGCAAAGAACTTTCAATAATCTGCACACATCGCCGCAGCGTCGCGCTGCCAGCTTACCATGTTGATGGTATACATCTCGGCGAAGCTGAATCGTCGCTTTTTGGGCAGCTTCAGCGCCTCGCGACACTCCACGTAGCCCGGGTCCAGGCTGGTGCGCGTCAGCTGGCAGCAGCGGGCGGACAGGCGCTGTCAGGGATTCAATGCATTTATAGAGACGCTTTAATGTTATTATCTATCTATTTTCTTTTTTTTCTGGCTGTCACTCACTGTGGCATTAGCGCGCATCTCTCTGCAGCTCAGCTCGGCTTTGGCATAAAAACACAGAGACAGCTAAAAATGTATGCAGATGACATTAAATTTTAATCTATAAACGTGTATGAAGTTCAGTTCTGAATATATCAGATATATATATTGAGTTAGTATGTCAGCTTGTTGTCGTTTTGGAATTTGCAATTAAAAGTGCCAGCAAATATGAAAAATAAATATTTCTACGGTTAGCAGGAGTCGGAGATACTTGGTATCTCATGGATATTTGAAAACTGAAATTGAAGTCTTTACAGCTGAGCCAACTCACGAGTATTATAACCAACTTTCTGTCGACTTTTGCTTGCATTGTCCGGGCGTTGTCAGGAGCGACTGGCGGAGAGCTTACTTGGAGTTCGCATCAGAGCTGAATTGAATGTGGCCCGATGGGGCACATTTCATGGCTGGTGCTCGCACTTTTCAGTGCGCTGCCAATTAAAATAAATTAAATCATCAAAGTGGGCAATTAGTGCGCGTGGCAGTTGCGTTTGTCTAGCGCTCTGGCTGGCGTTTGGCAAACGTTTTAATTGGCGGCGACCAAAAATAAATCGAACTATGCACAAAGGATGCCCTCTAATTTATGGCCGATTCAATCAAACGAGCACTCGGCCAGCGCACCTGCCTGATACAGGTGCGAGTGTAGGCCACCGCAGGCCACCCCAGGCCAAGGCCAGCGGCAGGACATCGATGACGATGCCCGGGGCCATGATTAATATTGTTGGCACGCAAACATCACGCAGCAGCAAAACAAGGTCAGAGTCACAGTCAGAGTCAAAGTCAGAGCCAGAGCCAGAGCAGGAGTCAAGCAGGAGCCGGAGGCGGAGCCATTGGGCTGGCAGCAAGTGGCCCGAGTTAATAAATTGTTTGGCGTTGTTAACTAAATTTTTGGGCGCCGTGCGAGCTGATTGCTGTGCGGGGGCAACACTTTTTCTTGATTTATTGATATGCTAATTGAGTGTTTGCACGTTGACCCCGTCGCTGTTTAATGCCAACGTTGACTTCTTGCCATTATGTTTATGTGTGTGTGTGTGTGTGTGTGTGTGTGTGTGTGTGTGTGTGTGTGTGTGTGCCAGTTGAAATTATGAGCCATGGCACGCAATTTGCATGGCAAGTGTTGTTCAAATTAATTGTAAATGGTTGTAATTTGCTGTTGCTGCTGTTGTTGCTGTTGTTGTTGCTGTTGTTGTTGTTGCTGTTGCTGTTGCCATTGCCGTTGTTCGCTTCTCGCGTTTACAGTTTAATTGCAGCTTACGCGATGCCAATTCGCGACTTGGCTCCCTGATGTGGCAGCTTCAATTAATTTATGGCCATGTCTGCTCGCGGGCGGCCTCCGAATCAGTCCTCGGTAAACGCGCCGTCATTTCGGACTTTGAGCGTGTTTAACGTGACGTATGAGTGATTTATGTTGATGGAGTGCAGTTAAGCAATCGCCCTTTGACGCTGCTCCACTGTCGATTGTCAATCGACAAAATGCGCCCAAGACAGACATCCAAATTACGTCCAAGCGCAAATACGTGAAGCTCCTTGCAAAGAGTTGCCCAGATATTTGTGAACATTTTCCTGTGAGAATTATTCCCATAAGGAGAGCTCGCCAGCTGGCGCAACAGAAAAACTGATTCATGGCAGAAGTAAATGGAAATAGGTAGACTTATATGCACAAATAAGCTATTCTAGTGGCAGCTCCTCCCCCTCGCCCCATACAAACTCTTCCCTTCGATTGCAGCAAAGCAGCTTAAATTCCTCCTCTAACATGATATTCAACTGCTGGAATTGTATTCGGGCGACACTTCGAGTCATTACAATAGGTCAGCTCTCACGATAGAGCACATAATTTAAATTTTTAATATCTCGTTAAATTTGTAAAGGACAAGAAATTTATTTTACTTATGCAAAGTATTACTAATTCTGGTAAATAATGAATTAGTTTTACATTTACTCTGGACTATCTAGATACAAAATTGGTATAAAAACAGACAGACATATGAACAAACATTTTTATTTCATTCAGAGTTCAGCTTTCCCTGATGAGATATAAGTTTTTAATTCAAAAAAGTTGGACCTATTCAGGTGAGCGTCACTGTATGTGTGAGTAAATAGAAACGAGTCCACTTTTGACAAATTGTGCCGCTGGAAGGGCACATTTTCCATGCAGAGAACAGCAGATGTTTAATTAGTTTGCTGAGCCGTTGCCTAGGCTGAGGCTACATGGTTTTAGTTAGTCGCTACAACTAAGAGATGACTTGAAGTCAGATATAGCGCAGGCTATCGAGTATTGACATATTCAAGTTTATGATGCCATTGTTCATTATTATTATAATAAGACAATTGAGTACAGGGAAGGACCTGTGCTCATGGGAGCTTTGCAGTACTTTTGCTCTGATGAAATAGGAAATATTCAATTTAACGGAGAACAAGAAAGCTACGCTACTCAGATGAGGAGCACTGTTTGTCTGCTTATATACATACACATACATATCTTCCATATATAAATATATAGATATAGATGTATATAGTATATCATGCTCAAAACTTTGCATATAAATCTAATGCACATCTGATTGGATCTGCGTGGCGTTGACTTTTTACTATTTGCCACACAGCTGGAGACATAAACATACACACACACACACACGCAAACACATGTGTATGTTACATGTTGTTATGTTTTTTTCATGGCTCCGAGGACTTTCTAGCATAATTACTTGAATACAAGTGGGAATTACTCGCATACTGTTGAGTTTTTATGCCTGGTTGGCTGGCTTATGGCTGCTCATGCCGGAGGCGGCGGCGTTTAGCTGGCAGGACTCGTTTTTAATGAAATTATTTGTTATTGCATGTAGTTTGCTTCAATGTCTGATGTCGTTGGGGCCCGCAATTAAATTATAATTCTTACCTCATACCGAGCAGGAGTAGTGTGTGTGTGTGTGAGTGTGCCGAAATTAGTGGGAAATTGCTAATGCGATAACAGATTGCCTTAGCGCTTCTGTGTGTGTGTGTGTGTGTGTGTGTGTATGTAAAGTTGCCTGGGAGCCACGTGCGAGGCGTATCAGAAAAAAAAAGAAATAAATAAAAAGAATTCAAGAGCAGCTCGTAGGAAACAAATTTGATTGCGCCCAAACGGATTCATGTGCGCCTCGAAGCCTTGCAGAAGCGATTTGCTTATTCGGCAATTTTGTTCTTTGAGCAAAAATTCATTAATTTTGAAGTTTCAGTTTAGCGTGTGCAGCAAAGTAGTTGCTGCTCCTGCTCCTGCGCCTGCTCCTGCTGCTGCTAGTCTTAGCTACAAGAGGATTCATTTGCCGCATGCCACATTAATCTCATGCCTTAGCCAGCTGATGCGTTGCTTGCTACAAGTGCTGCTGCTGCTGCTGCGTAAGTGAGAAATTCATTGAAGACGCATTTGCGGTAAACGCTCGGGCGTGTGCTCTCCCCCATCTAAATTAAAGATGCAACTCACGCGAGCAGCGCTGCGCAGAGCTGTCTTCCTTTGGCGCACATAAATCAGTTTTAAATGCTTATAAATAAATTGAGCTCCTTGCCACAGGTGGGCGGCCAACTGCGCAGCTACAGTAGCCACTGGCAACAGCGACAGCTGCCAGTTGCCAGCTGCTCGCAGCCAAAGTCGAGAAGCCGACAAACAGTCTAGTTCCAGCAGCAGCTGCTCTATATAGCTAGCTGTTCTATATAGCTTGCCATCTCAAGGTCAACGTAGGGTGTGGGAGTGCTGCAGCCATGGATGAAGCGATGAAGGTACCAGCTGTTCGATTTTTACATGCAAATAATATTGCAGAATTATTAAATATGAGAGAAATATGTATAATTACTTTAGCTGCATTAGTAAAGAGAATAACATACTTGAGTCCTATAGATTAATTAAAATTTTAGATTGTAATTTTACCTATGAACTGTAAATAATTGTAGATAAATAGAATAATGTAATAGGCCGATAAGATATTAGAGGTAACAGCTCTATGGTCAACTATCAGTAGATATACATATATACATCTATTGATACTTATTCATATCGATAGTTGGCGAGAGTACGATAATCGAGAATAGCCCTAGAAAATGAGGAAGAACTTGAGCTTAATTTTAAATAGAGAACAAAGAAGATTAGAAGCGTTAGCTGCGGAAATAATTTAAGTAAAGAACCAAATGAACCGAATGATATGATCTAGTCCTAGTTCATATTTGTTCATTCAGCTGTGGTTTCGACATTAATAGAAATATTTTACAGCTCCTTTCTCTGTATATTTTTGACACCATTGGTTGGTTGCTCTTGTATTAATTACTATTAGTCGTAAACAATTTTAAATAAACACACAAATTGAAAATATTGTTTGATTTTACACAAATATTTCCAGCATTTTATTTGCGGTTTTGACATCAATTGAAATATTTTAGATCTTTCTGTTTAATGTTTTTTTTTTTTTCTACCATTTATTAATTGTTATTATATTTATGAATATATACATATATATATACGTATATTCATATCCAGCCTAACTGTGGCTTGCCCCAATTGTATACTATTGTTGAGGCTCTCATCACTTGTATATTTATCGAGGTACTGCTAGTTCTCTTTCCCTATTTCTCTAAGTCGCGTTCTATGCTCGTTAGATGAAGCTCTAGCCCCTGCACTGGGCTCAGCCTTGGAGCTCTGCCATAACAGTTAAACTTGATGGTTTTATTGGGTGTTTTGCTGAAACTATCGTCAACGATAGTCCTCGAGCCATTAGGGCCATCTCTAGAGCACGCAAAGCGCCAGCCGAGCAGTACACGCGCTGCTTTAATCTGTTGTATTCATTTTGACAATTTATGCCGGGGCTGCCAAGGGCGCACCGCCGGGAACGCTCGCATGTCCTTGGGGAGGGGCGGGGCATGTGTCGTCCTGTTTGTCTTGTGTGTTGTTTTCTTAGCAGAGTGTGCGTGGCGCCTCGTTATGTGTTCAGCGTGTCTGAGCGCGGCCAGCAGAGCGCCAGAAAGGACGCTCCGCTTGCCGTGGCCCTGGCTGCTGCCTCCTTTTGTCTGTGCTCCCCCAGAGTGCGCTAATGTATATACTTGACTGGTTTTAATCAAAGGATTTTCACATTAAATTTAGCTAATTTACTTTGCTTTTATTTGGAGCGTTTGCTGCTGCTCGGGCTTCAATATTGCACCACTTGGCTGAGCTCTGAACTCTCTATGCCGCCTGGTTATTGAAATTTCATAGTCTAATTTTCAGCTCAAATGAAATTTTAATTACGCGCCTTTTGAGCCGGTGCGCCTTCAAATTGGCTATTTGGGTCGCGTGTACGTGTGTGTACGTGTGTGCACGTGTGTGTGTGTGCTTTACCTTTGACAACGTTTCTATCTATTCGCAGCAAACAAATTATGAGCACAATGGCTTTAGGGTCGTCGACAAATTAAAGCGCTGCAAATGAAAAAGCATTGCATACTTTTCAGCGCCACATAAAATAGATTTGCTATAGCAGGAGCAGCAGCAGGAGCAGGAGCAGCAGCAGTAGCTGCGGCAGCAGCGGAGTTTTACTTTCAATTTAGAGTAAACCTTCCTCTACACGCACCCACAGAAGTATTCACTGTATTTATTTTTTACTCTCCTTGTGGTTTTGCATATCTCTGACCCCGAATAGCGTCACTGATAAGCTTGACACACAGAAATGCACACACACACATGCACAAGCTGCCCTTCACTGCTGTGGCGCTGAACAAAACAAAAATAAAATGCAACAATAAACAGTCCGAAACAGGAA